CAGGGCAGCCGTGACACAGCTTGCACTGCAGGTTGATCACTGTCGCACAACCCGGCTGCTCCCTGCACTGTTCTCACTGCCTGCAGTGATGAGCCCCACTGGGCCCCTGGACTTGTTGACATTCGACACGCAACGCAAATGTAGGCAAACAGAATCAACCAAAGAAATGTCCAAGAAATACACAGCTGGAGAACATGTTACAGAGCCTCTCATTAAGGCATCAGAATAGCCAGAATTCCTACTGACTTAATCAGAAACCGTGTAATAGGGGCCAGGGTTCTGGCTGCGTGGTAGAGTATGCCTAGCATATGTGAGGATCAAGGTTCGATCTCCAGAACCAAAAAACAAATAAAACAAAACACTTAACTTTCAAAGACAGGGCTGGGGATGTAGCTCAGTGGGACCCCGCCTGCCTCACAAGTGCAAGGTCCTGAGTTCAATCCCCAGTACCAAAAAGAAAAAAAGAAAAAGAAAATAAAAAACTTGCAAAGACAGATGGTTCAGTTGTGAAAAATGACACATTTAAATTCAAACAAATGGGAAAGCACAGTATTCAAACTTGCAAATAGGGCTAACAGGGGTTGAAGGTATAGTTCAGTGGCAGAGTGCTAGCCTAGTGCATGGGAGAACCAGGGTTTGATCCCCAGAATCACCACAAAAAAAACTAAGTAAATTAAAAAGGATTAGGAATGGTCTAGCTCAATGGTAGATGCTTGCCTACTTGCAAGAGGCCTGGGTTCAATTCTACTACTGCAAAATAAAAATAAAAAATATCCTCAGAACCATACACACATGCAAAAAGATTATCAGTGGCTTGGGACAACATCCCAGAGGCAAAAGCAGGACACGTATAGAAAACCATGGTGGGGCCAAGGGCTGGCTCAGGTCCAGCGTGTACAAGACACTGGGTTCAAGCCCCAGCACGTGGGATGCATAGCAGTGCATCGTCGACACTCTTGTCACCACAGAAGACAGCAGACAAAAAAGCACAGATGTCCAGGATGAAGGTAAACAGAGAGTGGAGGGGAAAAGTCTCAAAGTACACAAAGCAGTTCAAAGCTGCATTGATTTATTTTGCCTAAGTATACTTCTCCACATAGATACAAGGGTGGCATGATTTTTAAATTACTTCTAAATCTATAATAGCTCCCTCAATAAGTATAAAATAACCATTTCTGTTGGTTTTTTTAAAGTATTTTTTTCTTAATGGTGCAGGAAATAATGGTGTATTTTAAAGTTTTTGGTGTCCTACAGTCAGCAACATAGGGTATTGACAAGATCTAACACATCCACTTCTGTGTTTATAAATATTTCCTCAGACTTTCAAGGTTCTGATTTACACAGCCAAGAACATTTCTGCTGTACACTTCCAGAGATATTTGCAATTCCGTAATAGCCCTATCACATTCATTGTACTGTATCCATTTATTTTTCCTAATTTAAATTAACAAAAATAACTCATTTTTTAAGGTTTTTGGGTTTTTGTTTGCTTGTAGTGGTAGAGCTCAAACGCAGACCTCACTCATGCTAGGCAAGTGCTCTATCACTGAGTTACACTCCCAGCTCTTTAAAATATTGACCTATTTTAAAAAACATTTTCTTACTATTCGTTTTCTCTTCCAAATAAAATCTATTTCTGGTATTTGTTCATTTTTGCTTTTGGGTGTAGTGATGCTGGATGTATATAATTTACATACAAATATTACAAATATTTTCTCCATCCTTTGGTTGTCTGTTACACTGAACTATTACATTTTTACTTATCTATTTATTTATTTCTATCTAACTTTACCACTACGGTTCTATTTATTGATTTAAAAGAGAAAACAGGTCTGGAGGTTTAGTTCATGGAACAGCATGTGCTTAACATGCCTGAGGTCCTCAGTTCAACAACCAGCACAACAGAAAAAGAAAAAATAATCTCCTTAGAGTTAAGAAATATTCACTTTAGGGCTGGGGATTTAGCTCAGTGGTTTCACTGCCTGCTGTGCAAGTGCAAGGACCCAAGTTCGATCCCCAGTACCAAAAAAAACCCCTGAAATATTCACTTCAAGGAACTATTTGGGTTTATTCTTCTTTATGGCAGAGTCGTATTCCATTGTGTATAAATATCACATTTTCTTTATCCAGTTAAGTGCTGATGGACTTATAGGCTGCTTCTATGATTTAGTTATTATGAATTGTGTTGCTATATAAATAAAGAGCAAAATAAGAGATAGACAGTAGGAAATAGGGGAATGGATCTTTCACAAATGGGAAGGAGGCTAAGAGCTGTAAGAAAGGATTAGGGATTCCTCTGGAACATCCTTCAAAAATAAAAAAGGATTAGGGAGGGAGAAGAGAATGAAAAAGGAATTAAAATATATTACATACATGTACCATCTCCCCACAAAGAATGCAAACATGTACTAGTAAAAAATACAAACTGGAAAGAAAAGAAAGTAGGAAAAAAAAAAGAGATTATTTGGGAAACTGAAAAGGACTAAGGGGAAGGGGGAGAGAGGAAGGATGAGAAAGGTAGACATAATCAAATCACAATTTCAATACATCACAATACACATATGGAAATATTAGTGAAACCCACTGATTTATAAAGAGTGTTTTTCTTGTACTTGAGATGCTGAGGCAGGAAAATTGCTGTGAGTTCAAGGCCAGCCTAAACTACACAGCAAGACCCTGTCTCCAAAAACAACAACAACAAAAAAAACCAAGAAGTGTTCTTATCAAAAATGTATTATGGAAACAGGAGTATAGCTCAGTGTTACAGCACATGTTTAGTGTGCACAAGGCCCTAGATTTGATCTTCAACACTGCAAAAAAAAAGTACTGGGATAGATGGTATGAGATGTGAATCTCCTTTTACACATTTTCTTCAGTGTTTGGTACAGTATCCAACTAATAGTTTCAAAGACAGCAGTTTTGTAGCTTTTGAACAAAATTCAGGACTTTGGCCTCCTCTCAAAAGTACTAATTTATAATTTATCATACCAAAGAAGCATATAACTCAGCATTTGTGTACCGAGACAATTATTTCTTGCCTATATTTTATTTATATCAGGAAGCTAAAGAGTATTTTAACCGTGTTTCTAATATGTATAAGCTTTTTAAAGAAGAGGGTGGGTCTTGGGCTGGCGATATAGCTCAATGATAGAGCACTTGGCTAACATGTACAAGGCCCTGAGTTCAACACCCAACATTGCAGAAAGGGGCAGGGGACTTCACTTATAATAGATTTTTTTTTATGTCATGAAGAGCTAATACCTAGAGAAATTCTACCAGTTACCTCAAAAATATATTTCTGCAATCTAAAGTCAGTATGTAAAGTTAATCAAATAAAATGAAGTATTCAGATAAAGAAAAAGGAATCTTGCCCATACATGTGAATTCCATTTTTCAAATAAGTTTCACAACTAAATTCTGCTTCAGTATATACAAGTTATATTAAGTGACACCATCCATAACCACCACATCAAAAATACCTGTCTGTTCCCCAAAACGATTACTTCCTTATAGCTGGACCTAATACCCTCCTGTAGGCCCATAGTTTTTGTTTGTTTGCTTTGGTGGTTTGGGTTTTTTTTTTTTTTCTTTTGCAGAACTGAGGAATGAACCCAAGAAGTGCTAAACTACATCTCCATAAAACATAAACATTTTAATTTTGAGACAGCATCTCGAAGGGTCAGTTTTATTTGGTTTTTTGTTTGGTTTTTTTGAGACAGGGTTTTGCTATGTAGTTCCGGCTAGCCTTGTAACCCAGGTTGGTCTCGAAGTCACAGCAATCCTCCTTCCTCAGCCTCTAGAGTGCTGGGATTTTAAGTATGCACCACCACACCCAGCTTCGAAGGGTTAGGTTTGAGGCTGGCCTCAAACTTGCAATTCTCTTGCCTTACCATCCCAAGCAACTGGAGTTACAGGCACAGGACACTGCACCTGGCTTTTGTAGAGGCCCTTGATAAGCACAAAAATCATGTCCTCTTCATTCTGTTTTATTGACAGGATTTTTTTTTTCTGGTAATGAGGATTGAACCAGGGCCTTTACACTGAACTTCACTTCCAGCCCTTTTTTATTTTTTATTTTGAGACAGAGCTTTACCACATCACTAAGTTGCTCAGGCTGGGCTTGGACTTGCGATCCTCCTGCTTCAGCTTCCCAGGTAGCCAGGACTACAGGTATGCACCACCATGCCTGGCTTTTTGCACAGGCCCTTGATTCTACTTTATTTAAAAATTATTATACATGTACAGAACACAGCACAGTCAGCTGTCTATACCACAGGTTCCACCAACCACAGATCAAAAATATTTGGGGAAAAAAATTGCGTCAGTACAGAATGTTTTCCTTGTCATTATTCCCCCAACAGTCCAGTAACAATTATTCCTCTATCATTTATGTTGTATTAAATATTATAAATAATCTGGAGATGAGTCCAACTGAATGGGAGGAATGCATAGGTTCTAAGCCAATACTATGCCATTTTATTTTATTTTATTTTATTTTATTTATTTATTTTGGTACTGGGGATTGAACTCGGATCCTTGTGCTTGTGCAGCAGGAAGCGAAACCACTGAGCTAAATCCCCAGCCCCCTATTATGCCATTTTAAATACGGGCCTGGAGCTCCAGGGATGTTGTTATCTGCAGAGCATCCCTGAACTAACTCCCCAAGGAAAGGCCGTAACTACTCACTAAGCCAGTGAATTACCAAGAAAGGACCATTCTTATAGGACTCTGATCTGAGGAAAAGCCCTAAATAAGATGGCACCTGGAAAGAAGGGAATGGAATTAATATGAGAAAATGAAGAAAAGGAAACAAAGTCTTTGTAAATAGGGAGGGATGGAGGGGTTGAAGGGAGGGCAGGGGAAGGGGAAAAAATAAGAACCAAGAGAGTATATAAAGGTGCATATCTCCAATGATGAATGTCATACTGTACACCTAAAATGTACCAATAAAAGGATTAAAAAAAAAAAAAAAAGATGGCACCTAGGATGCAGCACTGTACCTTCAGCTCCTGCTTGGGCTCCACGTTCTTTATGGTCGTGTAATACACGTGGTGGCCGTACTGATAAGCCACCAGGTTCTGCTCCAGGTGGTTCTGGGCTGGACGCACGAACATCATCCAGTTACAGAGGCTCTCATCAGACAACTCAAACCACAGGTCCTCGTGCAAATCCCTGTCTTTTCTGTCCCCTTTATCAAGAGACACCTGCAGCCAAGGAGAAGGTAAAGAGCCATACCAAGACACAAAAACAAAACAACCCCAAACCCTTCACTAGGATAGCATTCATACAGGAAATAGTGCTCCCTAAATTAACCATATATCCTGAACCTTTCCTTTATATCCAGAAGGATATCAGAATTGGGACTTGTCAAACTTAAGGGGAAAGTTCATTTCCTAAAGCCTCACCTCGAGGGGAATTACCTGGCAAAACCTACAAGTTCATAATCAACTACATGGCTTTAGTTAACATTTCACAAAAGTAACACAACAAAAAAAAAATGCTAAAAATAAGCCAAGAAAATGCAAGCATAATGCTCTCCAGTTCATTACAACTTGCCTCCTTCGGAGAGTCAAGTGTATTCATTTATAATATGCAGCACAAGGATATGTATTTCTCTTTACAGAGTAATATTCTTGCTTGGAGATCTTGCATATTCACCAAAGAAAACCTCCCCATGATAGCATCTAATTTCTCAAAAAATACATCCTAGCTATTTATCCCCTCCCAGTGCCCTTTCTTAGCTCTCCAGGGTGGCTACTCAGAAAACAGAGAGCAAAAATAGAAGCAAAAGCACCAAATGTGAAGAATGGAGATCAAAATAAAGCTACTTTAGCATTCAGTGATCTATGCTGTGATAAAAAATTCAACAGCAAAGGGCTGTTTCAAAATTGAAAAGTGCTTTGCTTACAAGATTACTGGCACAAAACAGATATATACATCCATGTAATTCTCTTTATATTCCAGTCAAATTAATTTGAAACAAAGAAAAAGAAGATAAAGATTGCCAATGCCTCTGTTATGTGCTGAATTCTGTGTATCCCTCACCCCCAAATTCATGTGGGAGCCCTATAACCCCAGTACCTCGGGATGGGACTGCGTTTGGAAACAGGCCCTTTCATGAGGTCATTAAGCTAATAGCACATCACTGGAGTGGGCCCTAACCTGTGAGTGGTCCAAATAAGGAGAAGAGATCTGAGCAGACATGGAAATGCCCAGAGGAAAGACCTTGTCAGCACACTGCCAACTACAAGCCCAGGAGACAGGCTTCAAGAGGAACCACCCTGCCCTCGCCTTCATCTTGAGCATCAGCCTCCAAATTTCAGTTGAAGCCTTTCAGTCTGGCATTTGATTATGACAACTTGAGCAAACTACTTAACCTAAGAACTACACTATTAGAATTATCCACGTAGTGCCTTAGGGGGCTGAGATTACAATCTCCATCCTATTGGAGAGAGAGAAAAAGTTTCTCTTTGAAATAAACTAAGCATAAAAAGAAAAATACTAGCCAAAAACTGTTATGAAATGGAAACAAGAGGTTAAGCAAAAAAATGAGCACCCCTGGAAAAAAATTGTTAAAGAACAAGAGTGGAATAGGAGAAAGCAGAAATTACCTTCAGATGAATATAACAGTCTTTCAGCTCAGATCCCCTGACAAGTGGCCCCTCCACAGGGCCAAACTGGGTGCGCTTGGGAATGCGCCTCTTCGAGAACACACCGCCAAGGAACCTGTCTATGTAGAGGACCAGGGGCAGACTGGCCCGGGCCCGAGTGAGCACAGGCCGGTTGGGGATTGGATGCAAGGGTCCATGCTTTGGGCACACTGAAGAATGCGCATTATTACACTCCTCACACCCTGCAAAAGAAAGAAAACCTTGAAGAAAAGTACAATTCCTCAACAAGATTTGCTCTCAGGTAAAAAGTTCTGACCTGAGAAATCCTCAAAACTATGTTTCTAGGCCAGAATTCAATTACATTTCACATGACCACTACTCATTCTATTGCAACACATTAGCTTGCATAGACCAATCATAAAAGTGCTGTAATTTTCCTCCAAAAGCAGGCAGAAGTTGCTTACACCTACCAAAAATAATGTGCAGGCTGTGACTTTTCACTCTGATGGATAGTAATTCAAATAGCAGCTGTTAACTTACAAATCAATTATGACACTTGGGAAAACAAAAAAGAAGAGCTTCTTCATGTAGATATTGCAAAATCTAATGAAATAAAATTATTTCAATAAAGCTGTTAGGAGAAAAAAGAAAACCTTGAGAACACTGATCAGTTTCCTCAAAGGCAGTTAGCAAAGTCTCATTAGGGGTGTATCTGACTCAAGTAGGAAAAGCACTATACTGTTTGAAATTTCAATGCAGACTGTCTGATCATGCTAAAATGAGCAAATTTAACGTCCCCTCCTTCATTCACTCGGACCACACAACTGGCCCCTCCTTGCCAGGACATGCATTTTTAGCTCACTCTAGGAGAACACAACTTGCACCAAGCCTCCATATTTGCTCCCTTTTCCAGTAGCATCCAACTGTAAATTAGCTTCCAGAAAGAGAAATGCAAATCCACAGAACAGGGAAAGTGATGGAACAGAGACCTCATACTCATCAGGTTTTACCCACTATGGCTCTGTGGTGACATGGTTTAGGTACAGTATTTTCAATTTCTACAACTTTCAAACAGAGAGTGACTCTGTATTTTTTTTTTTTTGAGGCGGGGTCATCCTTTGTAGTTCAGGCTGGCCCTGAACTCACTATGTAGCCCAAGCTGGCCTCGAACTCGAGGCAATCCTCCTGCCTCAGCCTCCTGAGTGCTGGGACTACAGGTGTGCGCTACCACATCTGGCACTGTATTAATATTTATGTAATAAAGTGGCTTTCTGTGCATTTGACTTAGGAGTTGACTTGAAAACTTCTGACTTCCGGGAAAAACTTTAAGAGGAAGTTGGATAAGTATTAGATTTGGGGCTGAACACTGGGCCCCATGCAGGGAGGTTTTGGAATCACCATGCAGAAGACCCAAGAGAAACAGCATGAGGCTGCAAAGCTCTGGCCGACCTTAGTCGCTCAAAGGAATGAAGTAAGCACTTTGCCACAGGAGCATGAAGATTCATGGAAAGAATAATGATCTGGTAGGTGAAAGCTGAACTTTGAGCAGGCAAGACCAAGAGGCAGTGGGTGTTGTGGCTGACCAAGGCCACTGCTGTGCAGCCACACAACCTGAGCTAGAATTCAGGCACCCAGCACACATGTATGACCTTGGGAAAGTGTCCCATATGCTAAGATCAGAGAAGGCATCGAACACATCAGTAAGCGTGGTGCGCTAAGCTGGGGACATGATACGCATTTTTCAAAGGTTTTATGACAAATAAGATGGCAAAGCAAACTTGTTAGAGCTGAAATGGCTGAACAGTCCATGCCTGGGCCAATGCACTGTAGCAGTCTCGTGAAAGAAAGAGCCATGCTCAGACAGAAGCACCAATTATCACTATGCTGCCCCGAGCAGGCAGTCTAAGGTTCTTCTGGGCTTCAGTTTTCTCATTAATAAAACCAGAAAACAAACACAAGTGTCAGAGTCTCCCACCCAGAGCGGTGGGAAAGACCAAATGGGATGACAGATCCAGAGCGAGAGGCACAGTATGTGGAAAGTGGGAGGACTCGGTGTGTGTGACACACATTCACAAGAAGGAGCCCAGCGTCCACACTTACACAAGTCATGGGGGTCAAAGGGCCGGGGCGGGTCTGGCTCCCAGTCATCCAGATCTGTGTCTTCAACATCTTCTTCCTCCTCTTCCTCAGTATCTTCCTCCTCCTCCTCTTCCTCTTTTGCCTCCAGTCTAGCTATGGGGTTCTGCAGAGTTGCCAGAGGGTCGGAACCATCCATGCTCTCAATGGAAGGCAGCACCTGGTTAAGCACAGGTAATGAGGCCTCGACAGAAGTTTAGCCATACAGTGAGCAGACACCTGCTTTTAGTCAGCTGGGACACAGGTATATGCAGCAAGGACAAACCCGTGCTGGACTGTACTCTTCATGCCACCTCCCTACAAGGCCCTGGGAAAATGGTTTCCATGTAGTTGATAAAGAAAAGTCTGACTTCATTTTGGATGTCTGATGCTCACAGTTTTTAAGCTCCTCCCTCCCTTTTCCTCTGTGCCCTTTATCTGAGCAGGCTAAAAAGAAAGCCTAGGTCTCTCTCCTTTGAGGCTGGCAGGAGGTTCAAACCCCACAAGGTCCTGATCTTGAGCATGTGACCCCACCCTTTTACCCCCTGAAGCCAAGCCCCTCTCCTTGCTCCCATCAGCCACTTCACACCTGCTGGAAAGGCCTGCCCTGTATCCCTAGAGACTTAAGAGTACACAGTCAGCAACCTATTCACTGACTCCTGGGGTACGTGTGGGACCCTAAGCCTCCAGATCTGGAGTAGGGGTTCCTCCCACCCTTTCAGGGTGGCCTCCTGAATAATAATAAGGGAATAATTTAGCCTCTCTTCAATAACTTTACTTTGTTTTTTAATTTTAAGAGACAAGTTCTCGCCGGGGATGTAGCCCAGCCGTGCGGCACCTGGCAGAGACCAGCTCAAAGTCCTGAGTTCAATTCTCGGTACTGAGCAAAAAAAAAGGAAAAAGACTAAGAGACGGTCTGACTACATTGCAGGCTAGCATGAAACTTCTGGATTGAAGCAATCCTCATGCCTCAGCCTCCCGGGTAGCTGGGACTACAGGCAAATGCCATCATACCTAGCCTACTTCACCTTCTTGCTTTGCGTATGTGGTACTGGGGATTGAACCCAGGGCCTCACATATGCCAGGGAAGTGCTTTACCACTGAGCCACAACCCCAATCCCTATTTCACTTTTAAAACTGAACACATGGAAGGCAGGGGATTTATTTAGCTCAGTGGTTCCAGTGCCTGCCTCGAAAGTGAAAGGTCCTGAGTTCAACCCCTGGTACCAAAAAAACCCAAACCTGAACACATGGTACTGAAAACATGTAGCTGATACAATTCCATGGATAACAGCTCTCCTTTCAAACACTTCAGAGAGGCTGAAGTTTTTAGGAAAGAAGAAAGTCTCTGCTGATTTGCTCATGCTGAAGTCAATCTCATGCAAATAAGATAAGATTTGGATTACATACTGGTTAATGTTATCTTACAAATATATGGGTAGAGGGGCCAGGGATTTAGCTCAGTGGTTCTGCTGCCTGCCTTGCAAGCGCAAGGACCTGAGTTCGATCTCTGGTACCAATATATATATATATATATATATGGGTAGAGAATAAATGGTACCTTACAAAAGTTCTCCTGCCTCTAATGTGAGTGTTCTGGGTTACATACTACTCTAGATTCCTCTTATCTCTCCTACACAATCAGCCCACAGGTACTCAAGCCATGCACCCCTCTATGTAATAAATCAAACAAGAGTTTAAACATGCCTGTTCCCTTTATCTTCCCACAGGCTGCTTTCCTCTCCTAGGATGCTCTTCTCTCACCAATCTCCTAAATCCAATCACAATGTAATTTCCCACTGAGATGTGTCTGATGCCACTGGGCCTCCCTACCCTCCTATGCTGTAAGCTCCCACAGCATTTGGAACCACAGAACTTGGTTTTCAACAGCCCTCTCAGCCTGCTTTCCTCACCAGGCAGACTGAAGCTTTCTGGAACAGTCTTGTCGCAGCTTCTGTGGGCCCACAACCCTGTAAATGTCTTCCGTGCAGTGGCCGACGCCTGCGACTTTCCTCAGGAGTTAGAAAAGTCTAAACCTTCTGCCACATGAACCCAACACTCAAGGACCCAAAACCCCAAATTCATTCAATTGTTCTCATATGGATGAACTTCTATCTCCCTGATTCTCGTCTTCATTTATTCCTCAGTGGATTCCAAATTTTATGAATACACCATCAGAGTACATTAGCATCTCTAACAGCTACCTTTCTACTGCGACCATGACTTGGGACTCACAGATAACTAAAATCACCATATTAAACTATCTTCCCCTTCCTCGGGACTCAAATTGCATATTTTTACTTAAATGAAGGATTTTTGCATTTATTTCCAATAAACTTCATTTGATTCCTTTTATCTGCTCCATCAGTCTGCCAAGATCTTTGAGAATCTCAATTCTGACCTTGCACCTTGGCCACCACCCCTCACAGCTCTGCACCCATCACCAAACACCATCTGCTCTGTCCATGAGAATGTGTCCACCTGTGTCCTTCTTGTCTCTCCACCTGTACTTAGCGAGCAGGCCATGGGCACTGGAGTTAGACAGATTTAGGATGAACTCCTGGTTACCAAACATCTCTGAACTTCAGTTTCTTTATCTGTAAAATGGAGTCATGAATCCACACTGCACGGATTGTTGTGAGACTAAATGAAACAAGATAGGCCAGGAGTAAAATGTGTGGTATTTAGTAAGTGTTCAGTATTAATAACAGACTATCACAAATTCTCTACGGACCGAGGTGACATTATATACTTCCTCTGCAACATCAAAAGACAAGACTGATGCACATGTAGTAGGTGTTCATCAAAGACTAGTTTATGGAAATATACTTTACCCTTTGGGAAATAACATCAATCCCTTCAGGCATCTAGAAGGATCTGCATCTAAAGGGATTCTTTGCTGCTGTTCACAGAAACATCCGTTTTCTCTCTAAATCTAATAACTTCTTAACCTCTAAAAAGAAATAATCTTCAGTGTTCCCAGAAAGCCTGACCTGTTGCAGCAGTGTAAGGCTACCTCCTAACATTTAAAATGCTCAGGTTGGGCCGGGGATTTAGCTCAGTGGTTCCACCGCCTACCTTGCAACCACAAGGTCCCAAGTTTGATCCCCGGTACCAAAAAAAAAAAAAAAGAGAGATAAAATGCTCAGGCTGCAAAAGGCACATAAAATCAGCTACCTCAAATAGCAGGCACATGGGTTACTTTTATTATTTAAAAAAAATTTTTTTTGGTACTGGGTATCAAACTTGGGTCCTTCCATTTGCGAGGCAGGCAGCAGACTACTGAGCTAAATCCCCAGCCCTATTATTTTAAAATTTTAAATTAAGAGATAGGACCTCATTACATCACCCAAGCCAGCCTTGAATTCCTAGCTCACCACAATCAGCTTGCATGCACATGTTGTATCATATAGTCATTTAGCCAGACGCCTAGACTTCTGCATGGCATTTTACCTCTGGAACTCAGAGCTTTTGGGAAATTTTGCATGAGTGGATAAAATTATGGGAGATGCTTTGGGTTAGTTTCAATAAAAATGCCAAGAATAAAATGCTGACCAAAGGTGAGGATTCCACAAGGAGAGGGTCAAGGGACTTCTGGCAATACAGTGACTCTGGCCTCCTCACCATGTCCTGGGAGGAAGCGACTTCTTTCCCACTCGGAATCTCAGTACAGGGTTACTATATTATCTTTTATTTGGAGCCACTTAAATTTTATGCCAGTGTTAGTGATGAATGTTATAACACTGAATACACCAAAGCATACATGCACCTCTGCTCTTCATAAATTTTTTATCTTTCTGTAGAGCTGACCTGAAAGAATGAATTCAGCAACTCAGTTATTCTAGTAAAGCTGCAATGATGTATTTTTCCCCAACAGATGCTGTTAGAAGGACTCTGGTCCAGCAAGGTTGCTGCTGGCTTGTTGCCACTGCTGAGAAAGCTGACATCAAAACAATACCAATAACCTCCCTGGTGCGGGAACACTCCTAAAAGACTGGCAAAGAAAAGACATGAATGCTTCCACATTATCTCTAAGAACTGATCCTGAAGGAGAGTTGAACATATTTCAAAATCATGAAAACTGTTAAAAGGAAGAAAAAGGGGGTAGTAATGGTCTCTTCTAGGTGAGAAGTATACATTTTTATTTTATTTATTTATTTTGGGGGGGTACCGGGGATCGAACTTGAGTCCTTGAGCTTGCGCAGCAGGCGGCGAAACCACTTAACTAAATCCCCGGCCCTAAGTATACATTTTTAGATAGCACAGACCTGACCACACACACATAGTAAGTAGTATGCTTTTCAAATCTGTTACCTAATTCATATTCAACTGACATTTACTAAGTGCTATTTGAATTCCTTTGAGGCCAGGTGTTACCACACAGCTTCTAAGTGGAGAGATGAAATTAAAATTTGCCTCTGCCCTGCTTTTTCCACTGTATCACAATGGCCCCTACAGAATTTGGTCTATTCAAGAAGGCCAGCCAGAGGAGTAAACATCCCCATACCTTGAGTACCAAGTCAAACAAACTAATACTCACAAGCTCCTAAGGAGTAGCCAGACGGTGGGTTGAAAAGTAATGTGTGACTATTTTACTTAGAGAAAAACAATAATAAAACTAAATTTTAGCCCACACATTTTGTCATATATAATTAAACATAGGAAAAGGAAAAGGAATTTGTTAAACTTATGGTCTTCTTCCTCCTTCCCACTTAATGTCACCCTGTAATTATTTCTGAACCATAAAATGCATTTCTGGACACAATTTATCTGAGAAGCAAAATATGAAACGCCACTGGACAGCACCAAACATGACAGAATGCTTTTTGGTTCCTACTGAGACCAATTATCAGCACAGCACATTTTCCTCTCAGTGTGTGGGGAATCACACATGTTCATTTTCAGAAACACAGAGGAGACTTTGCTTCTGCGTCTGGAGACACTGGAGTCTTTCTTAAGGACAGGGGAATGCATACATTAAAAAGGCTTCAAATAGATTATGTCATCACTAAAAACAACTGAAAATAGAATCCTCTAAGGCAAAAAGAAAAAAACAAAACATCATTTATGTTAAACCCTTATCCAACTTTCTACCCAGATAAGTTATCCAGGTCACTGAATAAACTGACAACTGCCAAGGTATGACAGCCAGAAAGAAAAGCTGTGAAAGGAAATTGCAATAAAGAAAGATGCTGGGGCTTGAGGTATCACTCACTGGTGAAGCGTGTGTTTAGTACACTTAAGGCCCTGGGTTCAATCCTCAGCACCAAAAAAAGAAAAAAATGAAAATAAAAGAAAGATACTAAGGCAGTGGTTACATTATCTTATAATGCTAGGATTCACAGAGCTATATGAGCCCAACTTTCCTATTGTACAAAACATGAAACAAGCAGATTATATCTGGAGATTGGAGATGAAGTGCCCTTTGAGGTGCAAATGGCAATAAGACCTTCAATTAAAACTATGCCTTAATTATTAAAACAACAAAATATCACTTCACCTATCAGATTGGCAAAATTTGAAAAGAATGCAAATACCCAATGTGCCATGAGTATATGGAAATGAGCTTTCTCATATATTGTTGGCAGGAATATAGATTTTTCCAGTATCCAAAAATGCAATTTAGAAAGTCTTAAAGAAATAGTTTCCCAAGTTATAAGGACAAATTTCAAACATATATAAAGAAAACAACTCAGCTTCAATAATTATTAACTAATATTACTTCAATTAATCACCCACTCTCTCCCTCACTAGATTATTTTATTTATTTTATTTTTTAAATTTTTATTTATTTATTTATTTTTTTGGTACCGGGAATCGAACTCAGGTCCTTGCGCTTGTGCAGCAGGTGGCGAAACCACTGAGCTAAATCCCCAGCCCACTCACTAGATTATTTTAAAGCAAAACCTACATGTTGTGCATTTTCATCTATAAACAGTATAATTTATATTCTAAAATAAAATGACTTTTTTTTTTTGGTACCCGGGATCGAACTCAGGTCCTTGCGCTTGCGCAGCAGGCGGCGAAACCACTGAGCTAAATCCCCAGCCCAATAAAATGACTTTTACATTTTATTATTATTACACTTAAAAGTAATCCATTCCTTATTGTTATCAAATATCTAGATAGTTTTACATTTTCCCCAACTGTTTCAAATTTTTTTTTCATTTGGTTTGTTCAAATTAGGATCCAAACACAGGTCATATATTTCATCTGACTGATATGTGGAGAATGATGTTTATTTTACCATTGTTTCTTTAAGGCTACACTCCAGCTGAGTGATGAGTTTGTAGCAGCGCATTAACCTTCCACCTTGTAAACTACCCACAAGAGCTATGCATACATCACTAGATGATCTAACCACTTGTGCTATCTTAACACCATTTTCTCCCCCTCCCAATATAAAGTCAAAAGGCCCTTAAGGGCCAGTGATATAGCTCAGTGGCACCATGCCTGCCTTGCAAGTGCAAGGTCCTGAATTCAATCTCTGGTACAAAAAAAAAAGTCCCTTTCAAGTAGAAACATATATTTTATTCTGATCCCCTTGACCACTAACTTTAGTTAGTCTATACATGTTTGTTAATTAATTTTACTCGGAAGGACCATCTCTACCAATGCCAAGGGCACTGGACATCATCAAACAAAACATTCAGTCTCCAAACAATACTTGACTATCCTCAGAAGTGAGATGAATGGACAATGGAACCACCATGACCTGATGAAAGCACTCCTAGGAGGACATTTCCATAGCACTTCTTATGTAAAAAATCAAATATAAAAAGCTGAGCCTTTCACCCTGATGGAACAGTCCTCTCGGACTCACCTGCTGCTCTCCTGTAGTGTATCAATAAACTCTTAGCTTTTCTACTGTCCTTGACTACCAGTAAATTTTTTTACCACCTGTGGCAACAGCCTCTCACATACCATACTTCACACAGCATGCCATGTACCTGAAGTCTGCTTTAATCTGCTTGCTCTCCTTCTTTTCCTTTACAATTTACTTATAGGAAAAAATCAGGGACTGAAGATATAGTTCAGTGTTGGAGTGCCTGTTCAGCATGCATAAAGCCCTTGGGGTAGGTCTCCAGGACCAACACACACACACACACACACGCACGCACACACGCACACACGCACACGCACACACACACACACACACACACGGGAAAAAAAAACTCAAGACAATTTGTCCTAGAGCTTCCCATAGGGTAGTTTGCTGATCGCATTATTATATGTCTTTTAATTTGTTCCATTTGTCTACTATGCTTCCTAGAAGGCGGCAGTTGAATCCTGAGATGCAATCAGATTCAGGTTTTATTTTGGGGGGATGAATATTTTACATATGGTATGATTCAAGGAAGTATACAATATCAGGAAGTATGTAATGGATGGTTGTCTCTCCTTTAGTGATTAAATTGCCATCATCCTATTCTGTCCATTATAAAGTCCTCATCAGACTTTTCCTGGTGGTTTCAGACTGCTGTTGCTAATCACTGCCTAGATCCACATTTCATTAGGAGAGGCGAACAGTGTTATATTTGTAGCTGAAATACTTCTGTAAACAAATGTTCTTCCTCCAGCAATTGCTTGCTGGGGACCTCCAGGGAAAAAGGATGGACTCTCCCTTCATTTACCAGTTTTCAGAATATGATGGCCCCTGGCGTTCTCAAAAGTGACCTTTGAGTTACTTTTTTCAATATCAGTATGAACTTACTGATCGGAAATATATTTATAATTACTTAAATCTACTGTAAGTATTATCCTTTGATAGGTCCAGTTGTCCCATTTTGGCTCCTTCAAGTTACATCTTAAGTTCCGTCCACGAGATACCAAAAGTTTTTAACAGCCCCTTGCATTGGGAGGAGAAAAGGTTCACCATGTTTATCTTGGATGTTCCCTGCCCCAGGGCTGGAATCAGCCATTTCCTCAAGAAGCCCTGACACCCCAGAAGTCTATTTAGCGATCATACTGTGGGGTGCTAGGGGTGCTCAGTGTTACTGGACTGAGGACCTTGTCTATACCTCCTCAGGGGACAGAACTAGAAACCTACTTTGTTATTGTTATCATCTTTGCAGTGCTGAGGATGGAACCTAGGGCCTCTCAGACCCTAGGCAAGTGTTCTACCACTGAGCCACATCCCCAGCCCTGAAAACATGTTCTTTAAGAGAACATGTACGAGTTCAGACTGACATTTCAATTCAAATTTAGGGCTCGGGTATTTTATCTAATTTGTTTGATTTTTATCCCTGAATCTTTTTTTCACTCTCACACAAAAACTTGGTTCTTAATTTAAAATGTCAGTAACTTTTGCTTCCAGCATTTTTCTTTGGGGAATTTATCCTGAGGAAATAATCTGGTATGATATCTGTGACACTGTTCTTTATAGTAATAAAAAGAAAAAAGAATCTACAGGTAAAACAATAGATGGAAAATATAAATAATAGCACATTCTACAATAGAAAAACATATAATAATAATCTATTGCTTAGTTGATAGAATCAATAAATATTCACAGAAATGGGCTTTCTTTCTTTGTGTGTGTGTGTGTGTGTGTGTGTGTGTTTTGGTCAAAATATATTCACTTATTGCCAAAACTTGTTAAAAGAAAATAACAACTCTCATTTATCATTTATGTTCACAGGCCCCACAATACTATAGTTCACTGCTGGTCAGGAGTAAGTTCAACCCCGATTTAAATAACAAAGGCTCCTCAGAATCCACTCTATTATTACATATATGTCCTAATAAAAATAAAAAATAAAAAGAAGATAGTACTTCCCAATTTAATTATTAATTGTTCATAGCACTCAGGTATACACATTAATAAAAGTCATACCACTGGACATGAAAATAGACCTATTTGAATTCACATTCCCTTTAAGTAAAACAGATAATGTCAAGTTCTGCACCTTCTTTATCCCTTTCATATCCTCGTGGAAAACAAGAAGTCCCATAAGGTCAAACAGTATATATTAGAAATATGGATAAGAGAAAGACATGTTGTAAAGGAAAAATCTGTTTTTCAGAAGCCAGAATGAGGAAGGTTGCCACCAGACTTACATATATTTAAGTAGTATTTTTCAACATATAAAAATAGAACCAGTATAAAAACATTTCCAAATAAAAAAAATTGATGATCATTCTTTGGAATCTAAATCAATATTCTGCTTATATGCTTGTTTTCGTTTGTTTGTTTTTGTTTTTAAGACAGGGCCTATGTTCCCCAAGCTAGTCTCAAACTGGTGGACTACTTAGGCAATCTCCCTCCATAGTAGTATATACTTATTTTTCAAACTTCCCTGAAAAATCACTTTTTACTAGGCTATTCTAATATATACTGTGTGGAATGAATTAGTATTTATGCTATGTTTTGCTTTGTTTCTACTAAAGGAGTTAAAGTATGCTTTTAATATAAACATCCAGAGATGGCACAGGATAGAGGGGTACAGGGACATTTCAGAGAACTGTGATAGTCACGTATTATTCCCAAACAGCAAAATGGTAAGAAGGCAATTCATTACCTGTTGAGCTGTGGTATCCTGTTGGACATAAGCTACCTGGCCTGGGTCTGTAAACAGGGTCTAGACCAAAAGAAAAAAAAAATTAATAGATCTTTAGATAGCTTGCCTATACAGGAAAAATTATTCTACTACTATACACCAACTTCCAACTCTTGGGAAAGTTATCTCCCATTATGGCTAGTAATCCTTCATTAATAAAGAAGATAAAAATTATAATCTTTGCCTAAAGCCTTGCATTCAGATGGCTCTAACGAGATTGTATATGTGAACCATCCCAAGCAGCTAACATTATTTCACTATTTTACGCTTAAGCAAAGCTTTTCTTGAGGTTGAATGTCACAGCTAATTAAAAAGGCCTGTCATGAAACATAAAGGACATGGACAAGTGCATGTACTTGTAAGGCCACTCACAAGAACAGATCTGTGATTTAAGGAAAATGAATGGAGATATACAAAGACACAGAAAAGCATTATAAACACCAAGTTTACAACTCTTTCAAATATAT